TTTGCACTGATAATTGTTTATGGGACACTGATGCTCAACCACTTGTGGTATACTCCAAGAAGCGTATCAAATTCAAATACTTACTTTATACCAGTTAAAAGCCTGGAAAAGCAAGAATAATAGCACTATTCTGAATGCACATCAATGTAAATAAGATCAAGATATGGTGGAGTGAAATAATTTGTATTCATAAAAACTGAACTTGAACAAACTAAGAATTTTATACAACACTCGAAAAGGAAGCCTAACATGGTGAAACACACACAGTAAGAGAAAACTGTAACCATAAAGAATGGGAGCTAAAAAAACCCTCAAAACAAGATAGGAGATCGAAGCAGATCCCCCATTTTTTTTTTTCTGTTGTTTATAGCCTCTGTACATATAACTGTGTGCAAAACAAAACAGGCTGAAAGAAATCCTCCTATTTCTAGTTTCTTGGGTATAAAACATAACCCTTTTAATGCCCACTCCAAATTTGGCCTATGAAAGGCTGAAATATTTTGCATTAAGGTGATTTTGATTATAGAAAAGTAAAACAACCTCCATTTATTATCTCAGTCTAACCCTTAAGATACTCAGTTCATCATACACCCTCTGTGGTTATCCTTCTGTTGATTTAAATGCTTCTACTTCCTTCACTCTCTGCTCAGACGACATGGTACTGCAGTTCTGGAGGAATCTCCAGGAGATTCTTTGTACAGAGGAGCCAGAACTGTCTCTACAACCATAAAACCCAAACACAGACTTCGGCCAGTCACAGCGTAACTGAACAAATTTGGCAGAACATACACGCACATTTTCTTCCATTTATAATCATTCTCATTTAGCAGTGCCATCTCTAGCTCAGGGAAGACTTGCTTAAGAATCTCAATGTTCTACATCTAATCTTGTAACCTTCAGTTGCAGCCTGGTGTTAAGTGATGGTTACCCATAAGCTTGGGACCACTTAAGCAAAACTCCTAAAATCACTAGCACTTTTGCCCTAGCCTAGAGTTTAATTTTTACAAGGAATTCAGAAACTGGACCAGTCTCACAACACTATTCTGAAAAGCCAGAGGTGAGATAACAGTTTACAAGATACAGCAAAATGAAAGACTGCAGAATAAATCAGCAGTGCACTTGGAGGGCGATTTCTCTCCATAGTCACCACAAGAACGACATCTATCATCACCTGCAGCTGTCTTCCTCTCTCCCTTTGATCCCTATGAAGATTTCTGCATGTTATAAATCACAAAATAGGCGTGGTGGCATAAGGTGAATGAACATATAGAAACATTCAACCACAACTCAGACGTAGTCTTTAAGCATCCTTTGCAGAAAGCAATTTTCTGGTACAGGTTTGAACTTGGTGCTTTGAATGGATTGTCAGGAGGAAAAAAAAAAAATTCTCATAAGGAGGGATTTGATGCTATAACAACACTCTCTTTCCATGTGCTACAGTCTGTTCGCAAAAACACCTCATGCTTCATATACGACATTGATCAGGATGGTATGCCATCCATTTTTGCAGGGCTGCCAGTTTATACTTCATTGTAAATCAAGAGAGAAAATAGTTTCAGAGACTGTAATTTTTGTCATATAAAACAGACACCTTAGTTAATAAATTTCCACAATGTTTGAAAGACTCATAATTAAAAAATGAATCCAAACAGAACAACCATAAATTAAACAAGCAAATATGTAGCTTGTTAATAAGTTTTTTTTTAAACTTCCAATTATACAAATAGAAAGATTATAAAGAAAACTCCATAACATAAATGATATTCAAAACGCAGGCAAACTATAAAAAAAAAGTGTCCTTAGAGCATGAGCCACTTTTAGAATCTTTAAAACAGCATCAGATCTTGATAAACCATAGCCTATACTGTGACTTTTGGATTAAATTTTAGTTTAGTGATGCCCATCAGAAAACAATGATCACCAGGTGGCTTTTGTCACCTGTTGTCAACAACAGAACACCCAGGGAAGTGTGAGGAGGTCAGAATCTAGTAAATAGCATCCAAAATAAAGTCTGTGGAATACCCAGAAAGGCTCCAGAAGAAGAGGTCTCCCCAATATTCATCCAGGAAAATCGCTGCCACTTGTATTATTATTAAATATAATTGCTCCTGAAAAAGTCAAGTTGCTAAATATACATAAATTATATTAACTTTGGTCTTCCCTGTTTTAATGCGTATTTTCTTTCTCCTACAATTTGCTTTATTGTTTAAGTATTTTCATTTTAAAAACTTTATTATCAGTTTAAACGGCTTGCATAGCTCTGATCTACAAATTTATTTTTCCCATATTTCTATTATAATTTGATCCACGCTGCCTTGTTTCTCTTGACACTTAAAAGCGGCCCAGTGGAAGAACAAGGTTTTGAAGAAAGGAAGACAGAGACCGTCTTTGAACACAACAGCACAAAGCACGTGGTAGTTTTCAGTCATTTACAAAAGATCTTGGTCTCATGGAAAGCTTGCGTGCATTTTGCTAAGAGGTCCTATATGGTCTTGCATTTTAAATGTCATTTCAAGATGTACCTTTCATTTCAGATTTTGACTTTTTCTAAAATTATCCTGATGTAAGCTCACTTCTGTGACTTTGAACCATAAACCGGAGGTAACAAAGTCTTACAGACATTCAAGAAGCCAATAACACTTTAAAAAGTTCTCTTCAACTTTTCTATTGCATGTAACAGCATGAGTCTCAGACTACATTCTTTATCTGAACATTTAGATAGAGTCAGTGATATATACGATGAACAGTAATACCATACCCAGAAGAGCACAGCAGCATGCCTTTGCTTCTCGTGAATGACTCGCAAATCCTCCTAATCCACACTGACCACAAAAGAACAAGAGAAATTAAAGCTGAACGAGTTCTATATTTGCTGCTAGTGAACATCTTCGAATATAAAATTGGCCAAACTACACAGGATGCAGTCAAGGGAACTTTTAGCATTAATATCAGCCACAATTAATAGCTTTGATTTAGGTATCTGAAATAATCTGAAACTAGCATCATGCCATTCAGAGTAGTTCAAACAAAATATATCATGAGGAACCAGAAAAACTTTCATTCCTTTCCAAAACTGACTGGCATAGAGAAAGTCACGAACATTCTGTTGGGGTTTTTTGTTTTTGTTTTGTGGTTGGGTTCTTTTAAATGAACACTTGCACCTCAGGTTCGAGTTGTTTCAATGTACTCAGCAAAATTGGTTATAATGTTAAAAAAAAAAGAAATCTCTCATTAACAAGTTCATTTGAAGTAATTTTTCAGGGTAGAGTTGATAATATTTGAGACCAAGGTATAGAGAAAAATTATATGCCTTCATCATTTATGCTGAAAAGACTCATTGTGCAAGTTCTTATCTTAATGCAGGATCAAAATTTCCTTTTTGCTACTTGTATCTGTTTTCCCTCTTCCTTCCACTGAGTACCACAGAGGACTCAGACTTCCATTTTCTCTGTAACAATCTATTAGGATGAGCAACAAGATCCCGTCTCAGACTTCTTTTTCTAAGTCTGAACAAATTTCTCTCTCTGCACTTCTCACACGCCATCCTGTTCTCCAGTTAATTGACAGCATTTTTATACATGATATATAACGTCTGAAGAACAGTCACATCCAAACACTTTTGCTTAACATGAATTACAGAATTCCAACCCATTAGGCTTAGCATAGTTCACTTTTACAAAGTCTTATAGCATTCTTTTTGTTTTGTTTTTTAAGAAAGCAAGAAAAAGCAACAAAAAAAGCCAGGATTTGATCTCACTTTCATTCCAGCATGAAATACAAACAAAATAGTTGGATATATCACAAAGAGAAAAAACAGAATTGGTGACAGTCTAATAGCTCAAGGCCATATTCTAGCCCATTCAAATGAATCTGAATTTTACAATAAAATTCAAAATAAACCCACTTAAAATGATAACAATGAGTACTAGCCCTGACCATTGTTTCATAACCATCCTGGAATATAGCCAGTGCTTCAACGTGATTCTGAACATGGCAAATTCCAGCAGCATATTAAGAGACTCAGTCATTTACATTAGGTCTATGTTTTGGCCCTGGCATTCCTCCTATTTTCTTATATCTTCAAGTTCCAGTGAAACATCAACAACTCTCCAGCTCATTCAAAACCTGCAATTGGCCCATTCCCCTTCCACTCTGAATTAATGCATAAAACATTGGAAATAATCTAAGCATCAAGTAACATGACCGGCTTCTACCCCTAGTAAACTTCTTGGCTACTTGTTTTTTTTTTTTTTTGAAACAGAGGAGAACAAAGCAAACAAGCCTCCCTTCCCCCCAAAGCACCACATAACATCAACTCCAAAAGTTTCCAGTCCTAGTGTTCTCATTTTCTCAGTTTAGCCACCTTCATTCAAGCTTCCCTACTTAAATATTTGCTCTCACAAAAAAAAAAAAAAAAAAAAAATTTGTTTTCTTCTTGCAAATTCACGTTGTGCTAACAACATTAAATTCTTAAATCTTGCTAAAGCAAGCACCAGTTATATCAAGCCTGAGGATCTGTTCAGGTCTCACTTAACTTTCTCAGTGAGGAAAAAAACCACACCACCTTATCACTCCATTTCATTCTTTGCCTTCTGAGAATTGTAATACTCTCCACCATAAATTCAGCTGTATTCAGCACTGTGCATACGCCACAGTAGATTAACACTCGCAAAATATTTCTCCATTTTTTTTTTTAAATAAACTGTATTGCTAATTGAATCTCATAAGGCTCCCCGCCCCCCCCGGCTCCCCCATTCCTCCTTCGTTTGGTGTCTCCCCTCGCTTTCTTCTGGCACCAAGACTTGGTTCCCTGTGCATGCCATTCAGTAATTCGACAAAACCCTAAAGAACTACCTAAGGCAGGTTAATTTAATGCGTGCTGAAGATATAGAAAGTGCAGGGTACGACACACGCTATTTTATAGTAATAGTTTTCTTCAAATGCATATTCAGTTAACAGAAACCCAGGTCTGACATAGACATGGGTCTGTCTTTACTCACTATATGCAGCTGCAGAAAATCACCCAGCCCAGGGGCACTGTCAATCCGAACAAGAATGCCATCCTTCACTGTTGTGCTGAAGCCCACAGCAAGACGGTCTGTCCTTGTGCTCGGTCTGTCGTTAGCTGGCCAGGTGTACAGGATGAGACCGCCACTCTTCCCAAATATATATGTGGCACCAGCTGCAAAACACAAAACCAAAGAAAAAAGTATTAGTTACCCATTTCATTTATTTATTTGCCAAGTCTGGTAATAATGCTATGACTTCCAAGAGGAATATAAGGAAGCATAAGCTTTCATTAAAGGGGCGAAATTAATGTCTCCTGCTGGCCAGGCTACTGATAGCACAAGACGACACCAGGAAAAGTAATTAATAGAGCAGATGATAGAAATACGTATTTCCAGACTCAACCAGGTAAGAGAAGAGGACAATACGTACTAAAATCCTTCTATTTGATGACAAAAGACATCATGAGCTCTCTTTGATATTGAAATTGATTCCACGTATGTTAGAAGACACACAAAATGATGCCTTAGACTGCCCTCTCCAACTTCTCACATGTATTCTTCCTTCTATAAAACTTTAAGTTTTCCTTTGTAAAGGAATGGCTCTGGAACACTAGATACTTCTGATGGAAGGAGATACGAAGGTGAAACAGCTTTTTGTCAGACAAAACATATCTGTTCCTTCACCATTAGCCTTGCACCATTACACTTGATAACAAACAACCTAATTCCCTCCTTCTGGGAAGTTCATTCTCCAGATGAGTACGGACTTGAGACTCAAACACCTCAGGAGAGTAATCTAAATGTGCACATATGTAATTCAGAACATCCACGTCGTCTACACACATCACAGCAGGGGAACTTACAAACAAGCAAGCTTCCTCCTAAGGTATAAATCATTCAAGAAATTTCTGCTGTATACAACCTGATAAAGTATATTTTATTAGTTCCTAAATAAAGACAAGCAACATTTAAGAGAAAGGTAAGTGAAGAGCTTATCAGGAATGAAAGATTTCATTAGTGTTAATATCCAGACAATGCCAGATAGGATGCTGCTGTTGGGGAAAAAAAAAAAAAAAAACAAACAAACCCCAAGCCACACCTGTTTCAGAAGCATGGGATTCAATGTTAGATGGGGATCCAGAGGCAGTTCTCCTTGAGGCTGGGCTTGTCTTCAGCTGAAGACTATTTACACACAGTGGGAGACTGCCCTCTTCTCAACATTTCCTAAGAATTTTGGATATCTAGTCCACATATTGCCAGCACCGTTCGCCTTCACAGTGAGCCTGAGAATTTGTTCCTTGACCTTATTTTTAAGGACACCACCAAACCTCTCCAAAGCTGAACACTGTCCTCCCACATTGACGAGGGCCATCTGAGCTGAGCAAGACAGACACGCAAGTGAGGAATTATTGTTGCAGATGAAGAAGCTGAGAAGCAAAAGCATTCGGAGTTCACATTCTCACTTGTACTCAACACTCCAAGTTAGGAGCAGGATTTTGTAACTTAGTAGTTATAAAATCAGCCCCTAAGCTTCTTGGAAAATATGGTTAAAATTGCTGTCCTAGACCCAAACCTACAGGCAGGACAGGAACACTTCTCAGTGCTTCAGCCACTTACTGCACCACATTTTCTGAGCACTATTACAACGGCTGACAAGCTACAGAATAGTAAGGAAAAATAACCAGCTGCCATTACTGCATCAGGGATGAAATATCTGTAGAAAGCAGAGGCAGTGTACTGGGTACATTTTCTAGTCTGAATGAAACTACAGCTGATGATTTTTCCTTTTTCACCTGCCACATACCAATCAGCAACATGTATCAAGCAATCCTAAACAGAGTAAATGTGATTAGATGCAGAAACAGGTGGGATCATATATGGGTAACTTCTACACTCCCCTGCAAAGCTGCAGCTCCACTAAAGCTCTTTATGGCCTGAATTCCAAATAAATATGGCATATTAGTAGAAATAATCAATACACTTGACCCTCACTTAAGAGGCTGCCTCTAGACATCTCAGCACACGTTACCAAAACAGACATCAAAAACTCGGGCACACAGAAGGGAAATGATTTGTGAACAGCTGACTCAATGACAGAGTGAAAATGAATCCACATTTCCATCCTTCCAGGTCTGTGCATATCCACCAGAAGGTGCCCAGTAAATTCAAAATACGTGTCTGAAATCAGGGTTAGGGAGGAAATTTCACTCATAATTCTGAATTAACATAAGAGCACACTGACATACTGGAACTGTGCACAGATCATTGTAGTTCCAGAAAGATTAATTTTACAGACTGAACCCTATCTCCTCATTCAGCGTTCAACTCAAGACAGAGGGTGCACAACTATATGTAGAAAGGGGTTTAGTTTGCCTGTTTAAATGCATCCCCAACCGTACCTGTAATCTGTTGGTTACAGAGACAGTTGGAGATGACCGGGTAGTGAACTACCCATGGCTTCCCCCCATGCACGGGTATATCAACAGTCCACTATAAACTACATTACAAATATCTGCCCTCAGTTTATCAGTTTGTCCTAGAAGTTGTGTGTATCGCATTACAGACTAAAACAAGGCATAGAAGCATGTTAAGTAAAACAAGTTCACTCATTGTTGATGGCTTCATAGATTAAAACCCACTTTCCAAAGCTACTCTCACTTGAATTGCAAGTTCTCCTTCTTTGCTTTCTACTGGTTATCAGGCCCTTCAGCAGCAAAGACAAGCTTGGAAGAGAGTTCTTTGCTATTTATGAAGACAGACGATTTCTTTGCCTCTCTAAGAACTATTTGGCTGCAAGTAGAGCACGTCAGTGCTCCTATGAGCGCCAATTAGAACCAATTATGTCTTCATAAGCCTGTCATGGGACTTAACTGCTTAACAGAGCTCATTTTCTCCTCAAAGAACACAGATTTTTGCTTCTAGGCCTAAATTGAAGATATTCAGTACTTTGGGTTTGTGCATAAAGATCATTCAGATGCAACAACCAGAGCCCAAACTAACCTGTTAACTGAAGCCTGGTGGCCAGCAGTTGTTTCCTTATTGTCCAGGTCAGAATTATCAGCATAATGATAGATGGGCCACGTGTTTGTTGGGTACGCCAATGTCCCTTCCCTTCCCCACCTTTTTAAGGGTATACGGGATACCCATTGCCTTGTTTGGAAAGAGATGGCATATTAACATTGCACCAGTACCACTTTTTTCCCTCCAAAGTATGAACAAAATAGTCACTCCAGTCTGAAAACATAAGGTGCAGACATCACATAAAAGCAGGAGGATAACGAGTTACTACCACACTGCAATCACATTAAAAAAAGAAAAAAAAAAACCACACACCAAAACCAATACCAAAATCCCAGAACACAACACTAACACACTTGATTTAAATGCTTCTATTTGAATGCAGCAAACATAAGTTTATGGAGTTTAAAACTTCAAGAGAATTGAACAGGACAAACAGTGTAATTACAACCCTGGACTTCAGGAAAGGAGATTTCAGCTTCACCAGAACTTGACAGGGCCTGAAAACTATCTGGTTGGCCTTCCTTTAAGCTGGTGTAAGTGAGCAGGTTGGACTAGTTTACCTCCAAAGGTCCCATCTGATCTGAAATCAGTAACTATCCTCTCTTTGTGGTCTTGCATAGAATTGTAAACTACTTAAGTGAAGAACTCAGTCAAGAAAAAAGCTGATGAAATGAAAGTCTGTTCAGCTTGAGATCTGCTCATTGCACCTAAGCTTTGTTACAGACCTCTTCATTACATAAGAGCACGCTTTTTTTTTTCCTGATATGCTTTCTATTCAAGGCAGACAATGGATAACCCACTGTTAATGAGCAGCCACTTGAGATTTGTTTTTTCCTCATTGTTCAAGGTTTAGTTATATACCTCCTTTAACAAATACAACACCGACTGTGCCCTGAAAATAGAAAAGTCTGAGGGACTGATTAATTCCATTGTATTTATCATTACAGTGCTTTACCACTTCAACTATATAATACTAACTTCAACCTATACTGTGCAAAAAAAGAAGAAAAAAATAAAATCAAAAGATACAAGTGCACAAAATTATTTCCCCAGTCAGCTCTGAGAAATCCCACTTCTCAAAATGCCCTGGGCCAGATTTACTGTACCGACATGTGAGAACAAATGGGAACAGAATATGTTTAGCTACTCTACTAGTATGCTGCATGCAGAATTTGGTCAGAATGCGGAGCTCAGAGAAGCAAAGGAATATACAGTGAGGGAACACTCTCTACAGATTTAAGCTACTAGGATGCCACCTCACATTTAGCATACACAAAGCCTATAAACTCATAAACATATAGTTTGGCAGACTGGCAGTTGACTTTCCCCAGAAATGACATATCTTGTAACTATAACTTACAACTTTGGTGTTTAGAGATTTAAAAATCAAAGAGGTGGACATACTGCAACACACATGACAATGCTGTTATTTAAAGTCTGCATATCTAGATTAGGCAAATTATGTATCTGCTAGCTATATTCATGGACAGAGCTGTTCTATTATTTAGTTTCAGTCAAAATAAAATAGTTTGAGGCAAACAATCCTCACGGAAAATTCCTAAGAGAAAAGTTATAAGCAATGTTATAAGCCACAGCAAATAAAGCCTCCTAGTCAGTTGTGCTAAGAAACATTTAGCTGAATTTGGAACCACCACCTATAGTTTTAAATTAGTTATCACTTTTTCCTCATCATTGCCCAAAGACTTCAAAACCCTATCTTAAGGACGAGTATCATTCAATCAACATAGCTCAACTGCAGCAGCTATATCCTGCCTAAAAGTAATCCTGTAAAGCACTAGAAAACAAGTCTGTCACATCTGCACAAGATATAGCTTCTTTTGTGCCTTAGGGATCCTGTGAATCTCCCCATATTAAATAGTCTATTGCAAATTTTCTATTTGCATCTACTAAGCCATCAACAGTCCATTTTGCCTCAGCTACAGCACTATGCATACACTCATTTCACCGTGGCCAGGAAAAACCAACATTTCAGACGTACCATAACAATGTTTATAATCTGAAGGGTTAACTGCAGCAACTGTGCGGTGGGATGTAAGTCCGAGTTTAACATTTAATTTACTACTGAAAGCTACTTTTAAGATTAAAATTATGAGGAAGCCAGGCCAATTTAAAAGCTACAATAATTACCTCA